AACACCAGGCTGTTCAATGAATACCACAGGGACAGGAGCTGGATCTCATCTCTGTAGAAAGTCTCATTGTTTATGAGGCACACCATGGATTCATCTGTAAACATCAGACCCCTGTTTGAGGAGCGGCTGGTATGTGCAGTCGTGGGTGAGTAGTGTAAAAAGAGCCAGACTGAGCACACAGCCCTGCGGTGTGCCTGTGTTTAGGACCAGGGTGGATGATGTTCAGTCTCCTAATCTCACCAACTGAGGCCGATTGGTGGGAAAGTCCCTGATCCAGAGGCTCATTAATGTTGAAAGTCCTAGGTGTGGAGCTTTACTACCAGCTTGTATGGGATGATGGTTTGAAATGTTGGACTGAAGTCCACGAATAGCACCCTAACCTATGTGTCAGGATGCTGTAGGTGTGTCAAGGCTGTATGCAGTTTAATGGGGACAGCATCATCTGTGGACACCTGCAGCACATCATAGCACTTCAAAATGTAGAAACTTTATTCTAATCGGATAATTTTAACAGATTTGTATCAAGAAGATCTCACCTTTTCATGAAGATGTGGTGATAATGTTGTCGGGTTTCAGATGAAACATTCGTTTAGACAACTTCTAGAGTGGCGAGGCTGTGAAATCATCTCCACTTTTATTCTTCTGGTGAACTCCAGGTTATAGTGTATTTTTTACCGTGCAGTGTGACACAGTGCTGGACTCATGTGGCTCACAGGGCATCAAATATTCATGATACTTCCCCATGGCTCATAGTACCTAAGATGCTTTAAACCAGCTTTCGAGTACAGATCCACCAATGACTCACGGTGATTGTTTTTGGTGCATCGCAATAAAAATAATTTAAAAAATAGCAAGCTGGATTTAAGATACAAAACACCAGTTACAATACAAGGACACTAGATTCAACAGGTTTATTGTAGCTTAATAGAATTCAAAGGATTAAAAAATGTTGAAGAGTTTCTTCCTATTTTGTTTTGCATGCTCACTAAGCTGCACTATGTCCCCTCGTCTGCCTGCCCAACACCAACTCTAAGAATATTCTGTGGCTGCAGGGCTGCAGAAGGAGGCTATCGGGGCAAGCTGCACGCTCATCTCATGTGTCAACAGAGGCTGCGTCAAGTTAGCTCTGCCAAAAACAAAAACAACTGCCGGCCACGCACTGGAGTTACATTTCCCTTTGAGAAGTCGGGACACACCAAAATGTTCCCCTAGTCTTAAGGTGGGGGTGTGTTCGCACTCCAGTGCTTTTAAGTTTTCTTAGGGTATCTAAAAATGAGCTCTAAAGACAGCTTGACCTTAAACATTTCCCTGGGTGTTGGATATGCTGCGTAAATCAGACTTCCTGACAGCTTCTGAGTACATGGAGGACGGTATCAGGTCCCACAGCAACGTCAGGGGACTCTGCGAGCATGCATGCTGCCAGAGAAAGAGGTCAACCCTCACTGACGCTACCCTGCGGTGTCACTGTTATCTGCAGCAGCTCAGCTCTTCCCCTTTCTGCAAACAGAGTGAAGGAGTGACACAGAGGTAGTCACTTATTTAAAAGTTTTCAGAGTTTTTTTTTTCCTGGAGCTTCTCGTGAAGGCGATCACTGTCTCATGTGGGATTATTTCATGTTTATGATCACAAATTAATGAGAAAGGAGAGATGAGCTTAAAAAAAGCTGAGTCTTCAGTCAKAGCAGCAGCATTTTTCTGCTTCTACTTTCTGAATCAGTTAAAAGTCTGAGTCCTTGTTGGGGCTTGCCTCRGACTCCTGTGGACAAACTGCAGCATTCCTCAATGGATTTTCCTGCATCTAGAAGCGCCGAAGATGGATCAGGTCTGTTTCCTGTCTGATTTTATCTGCTCTGTTTCCACCTCAAACCTGGATTCCTCCTTTTGTTGTGGTTCACCTCCGAGCTGAGACCGCGTGGCGTGGATCCAGAACCGCCGGTCGGTTCGGAGGAGAGAAATAACTGCAAGTTCAGGTCAGATGCGCAGCTTGTTCTCCTTACAGACGAGTGACTTTTGGAGTCGGGAGCTCAAAGGAAAATGAACAAAGACCCCCGACTGGCACGGAAAGGGGCTTCCGCTAATTTTGGACCCGGTCGGAGACACTCGTGTTTAGGGTATGTTCCTGAACTTCACTTATTCTGCATCTTTTCACTCAGGAATGTTCAAACTAGCTGCTGAAGACTGCTGCAGGCAGGACTCAAGACTATAAAGTTTTACTATTAGCATGTTATTTTAATGCAAATTAGGGCTGCAGGATATTGGAAATAACTGGCATTGTGATTGTTCTAACCCTATGATGTACAATGATATGAAACAAAACCCAGGAATTTTCAACAATCAACTTAAATAAGACTTATGTTGCCATCCTGTTGAAGATGAACCTGCACAGATCTTGCCTCTTTTTTTGAGCATGTTACAAGTATGTTTTTGTCAGTATTTGAAAGTTATTCTTGTTATCTTTTATTGATTTTATTGTGCTAGGACCCGAGTTTGTTTCCTTTTGTCGTGAATTGCATTTTACCAATAAACAAACCCAACGTGTAGCTTTATTATTAGCATTCATGCTAAACTGTATTTTACCTCCTTTTTCTTAAGACTCGTTGTTTTCTTCCAGAGACAACACTGACAACAGATCTCCAAAAAGTTCACCATTATTGTCCCAGAAATTTTACAACAAAATTACAGTTTGGTTTTGCATTTTTTTTGTCTTTTACATGAAGCCCTTGTAAGCAGCTGTGGATGCCGTTGAAAATAAAAGCCGTTTAGTGACCTATGCTGTATACATTGATTTAATTTGCCATCTACATCGCAGGACCTGCAATGTGACTACTGCGCAYACGTACATTGCAATGAAGATGCTCCAACGATATATCGTGCAGCCCTAATGCAAACTGTAGTTTGTGTGCATTTTTCTGTTTTTCTGATACCACTGAAGTACGTCTGCAACACATTTCCCATTTCTAACTTCTTGGATATTAACACTTGTATTATTCAGTAAAAAAAAAAAAAAAAAACATGTAGCACTAAGCAGTGTCATTGTTAGAGGAAACAGAACAAAGGATGTGTGATGAATGTGGTTTATAAACTGGAACGTTTTTTTTATGCAAGTAATGAAGTTAGGCTCCTTTATTCAACTTTACTATCACTTTCAAACAGATAAATCAAAATAAAAGTCTGCGAGCTGCGGAACCAGCGGCACAGCGCCAAGCTGAGTTTGATGCAGTTTTAAGTTTTTGGTGTTTTACATAACTGCTTTTTGAGAGGAAGCTAGTTTTCTTTGTGGCAACATTCTGTTTCCTGTTTTGTTGTTGTTTCTCTGACACATTTTTCAGTTGAGCTGAATGATGAGCACTCTGATGCTGCAAAAACAGCTTAGTTTCAGAGCATAGGTCTGGTGTGTGTGTGTGTG